TCAACACAATTTAAAAACTGGTATAAAGTCCACACTTTTTCCGTCAATTGTTCCGTCTGTCCTGCTCACATCTCCAATGGTTGTAAACGTTGTCATTAACGTGGCTTCGCTCCACAGCTTAGAGGGAACATTGCCGTGCAGGGGCCTGTCCTTTCATGATGGTGCCTCCCCTTCTTCCTCATTCTTGGTTTTCTGCTGCCTGAGGTATTCACTGAGCACGCGGTCGGTTGGGGCCATCTTGCTGATGTATTCGTGGATGTTTGTTGTCTCATCCTGGACTGTGGTGCTGACACTCACCAGTCCCCAGCCTCCTTCCTTCTGCTTAGCGTACAGCCTCAGGGTGCTGGACTTGGGGTGAAACCCTCCATGCATGGTCAGGAGCTTCCTTGTCTTGATGTCAGTTGCTTCTATCTCCTCCTTTGGCCAGCTTATTATCCCAGCCAGGTACCTGATCACGGGCAGGGCGCAGGTATTGCTAGCCCAGATCTTGTTCTTACCATTCAGCTGACTTCTCAGGACTTGCCTGACCCTCTGCAGGTACTTGGTCTTTGCAGCTTTCCTAGCGGCCTCTTCATGGTTCCCATTTGCCTGTGGAATCCCCAGGTACTTGTAGCTGTCCTCTATGTCTGCAATGTTGCCTTCTGGTAGTTGGATCCCCTCAGTTATGACTACCTCCCCTCTCTTTGTTATCATCCGACTACATTTCTCCAGTCCTAATGATATTCCGATATCATTGCTGTATATCCTGGTGGTGTGGATCAGTGAATTGATGTCTCGTTCACTCTTGGCATACAGCTTGATGTCATCCATGTACAGGAGGTGGCTGACAACTGCTCTATTCTGTAGTTGGTATCCGTGGCCAGTCTTGTCAATGATCTCACTGAGAGGATTCAGGCCTATGCAGAACAGCAGTGGGGACAGAGCATCTCCTTGGTAGATCCCGCACTTGATGGCAGCTTGTGCTATGGGCTTGAAGTTGGCCTCTAGTTGGCCGCTAACTATATACATATATATCTGTGTGTGTATATATGTATTTTCAGGTCAGGTATTCCTCATATTCCTCTTGTCAATACCCTTACACATTCTCTATTAGTTTCATTTCAAGTGACTGTTCTGGAAAATCAAACACAGCAATAACATGGTCAGCAATTATTTAAGATAAGATAACCTTTATTAGTTTATTTGACTCACATGTGGGATATTTGAAATGTGTTGTTTGATAGTAGTTTTAGCCCTGTGAGAAAGTCCTAAGCCCTGTTGGAAAAGGAAATCCGAATCTGAGCTTGTCAGCAGATGTCACAAACGTCTCTAAAATCTCCTGGTAGAAGGCTGCATTGACTTTGGATTTGATAAAATGCAGTGAACGCATTTGTGTTTCAGTGTTATAATTTTTTTTTTCCTTCCCTAAAATTCAACAGACACCTGCATATTCTGCTGCTGAACTGAACAAAATAAAATCATGGCAGGATCAGCATATAGATCTGGTAAGTGCACAAAATATATATATTTTTGGGGTTGTTTGTTTTTTAAGTTAAAGAAACTTATTCAAATTTATTCATATTAGTCATAAATAAAATAATACCTAAAATGCTCCTTTTTGAGTTTTACAACAGCTGCTAAAATTTTTTGTGACAAATTAACTGAATATTTTTCAGAGAGTGATCCACCATAAATATGAACTTGAAAATATTTGTTTAGCGCTCTGAAGTCTATTTCAATTTAAATAATGATTTTTTTTTTAAATTAATAAAAGAAAATTGATTTGTAACAGTGTTTAATCATAATGCTTCTTGTGTCCTCGTCAGCATCCGAACTCAGGATTGTGATATTTGGAAAAAACCAACATGAAAAGGCAACTTTAAGTAACTTGATCACTGGTAAAAGAGATTCTCATCCTCTAAAAATATTAAAGAAATCCATTGCTCAAGGACAATGGGGAAAAATTCCCATAACAGTGGTGAAAACCTCAGACATCTTCAGTCTTCCTGTGGAAAAAGTCAGACATGAGATGAAGATGTGTGTGGCACGTTGTCACCCTGGGCCAAATGTCCTGCTGCTGTTAGTGAAACCTTCAGATTTCACAAAGGAAGACAGACAAACACTGAAGTTCATCTTGAGTTTGTTTGGTCCAGATGCGCTTAAATATTCAATGGTCATCATAACACAAAAGGATGAAGAAAAGAATGTGGCAGTCGATCAATTTATCCAGGACTGCGGACAAAGACAACATAAATTCAACTTTGACAAAAAAAACATTGACTTTGATTTTGAAATACTGATGGAAAAGATCAGCCAAATTGTGACTGCCAACAGAGGAGGACATCTAAATTTTTCTGAAAGCGCAGAGCACCTTGAAATACCAGAAATGCCAAAATCAAAAAATTTAGCACTATGTGGGAGATGGGAAGATGGGATTGAAGAATCTGAGAAACCAAAGCCTCCTGTGAAGTTAGTAATTTGTGAGAGACCTCAAGTTGGTCTGCAAGAACCTCAAATTCCAAATCTGAAACCTATGAATTTGGTACTGTGTGGGAGGTTTAGAGTTGGGAAGGCATCAACTGCCAGTGCCATTTTGGGAGAAAAAAAAATAGAATCTAATTCATCAGCGTGTGATAAAAATGAGGCAAAGGTGTGTGGTCGACTGGTTTCAGTAGTGGAACTGCCTGCTCTCCATGGAAAATCTCAGGAGGAAGCAGTTAGTGAAGCAATCAAGACAGTTTCTCTCTGTGATCCTGAGGGTGTCCACGCTTTCATCCTAGTTCAACCCTTGGATCACCTTACTGATGAAGACAAGAGTGAGGTGGAGACCTTCAAACAAATAATGAGCTCTAAAGTCAAGGACTTTACAATGGTTCTTTTTACTGTGGAGACCGATCCTACACACCCAGGTATTGTTCACTTTTTAAAAATGAACACAGAGATCAAAGAGCTCTGCGAGAGTTTCAGTGGCCGATATGTTATCCTCAACATCAAGGACAGACAGCAGATCCCTCAGTTATTGGATGCTGTGGAAGAGATGAAAACACCATTTAAAGGCTTCAAAAAAGAAATTATTGAAAACCCTTTCATGCACAAAAGCGCAGGAGGTAAATACAAAATGGGAAAGTCAAGATTTGAAAAAAAGAGCCAGGACTGTCTCAGGATTGTGATGATTGGGAAAACTGGAAGTGGAAAGAGTGCCACTGCAAACACTATTTTGGGAAAAGAACACTTCCATTCAAAACCCAGTTCGGGATCAGTGACCGTGGATTGCAAAAAAGTAACAGGAGAGATTGATGGGCGCTCTGTTGCTGTGGTGGACACACCTGGTTTATATGACACGAAGCTGTCCAATGATAAAATTAAACAGGAACTCAGGAAATGTCTCACAATGTTGGCTCCTGGACCTCATGCAATCTTACTTGTCCTGAAGATTGGTCGCTTTACGAAGGAGGAAAAAAAAACTGTGGAGCTCATCCAAAACGTTTTTGGCAAGAATTCAAATGACTTCATCATTATCTTATTCACCAGAGGAGATGACCTAAAAAATGAAACAATTGAGAGTTATATAGAAGAAGACAGCGAAGGATTCCTTAAAAAACTGACAGCTGATTGTGGAGGACGATACCATGTGTTCAATAACAATGATCCAAGTAACCACTCTCAAGTCAGTCAGCTGCTCACCAAGATTGAGTCAATGGTGAAGAAAAATGGTGGCAGCTACTACACTTTAGAAATGTTCAAAGAGGCAGAGGCAGCAATTCAGAAGGAAATGCAGAAGATTATGAAGGAGAAAAAAGAAGAGATAGAAAGACAGAAGAAGGACCTTGAGAAAGAACATGAAAAGAAACTCCAAGAGGCACAGCTAAAAATTCAACAAGAAAGAGCTGCAAGAGAAAAAGCATTGCAAGAGAAGGAAGAACTCATTAAGAAAGAGGAGGAGGAGAACAAAATGATAGAGGAAAAGAGGACAGAAGAGGAAAGAGAGAGGAAACAGAGGGAAGAAATTCAGCAACACCCGTGGAAACAAAAGGGGAAGAAAATTCAATCTGAATCAGAAGAAAAGACAATTACGGGCCAAAATTTGATACAAAATTCAGAGAACATCAGAAAAGAAAGTGAGGTTTGGGGAAAAGAACCAAAAGAGTGGCAGAAGAAACGACTTCAAGATGGCCAACACAGATTGAAGGAGCAAACACGACTGAAAAGGCTCAGAGAAGAATATGAACAGGAAAAGAAAGAATATCAAATCCAAAAAGAACAGGAGGAAAAAGAATGGCAAGAATTACATGAAAATTTTCAAAAGCAAGTGGAGGAAATGATGAAGAAAAATCAAGAGGAAGCCAGAAAACAAACAGAGGAGTTTAATGAATTCAGACAGAGATTAACAACTGACTTTGCAGTTGCGGTAGCTACACAAGAAAGAGAATTTGAAAATATGAAGCTAAAACAACAAAAAACCAATGACTTCATGATTCAACAGCTGTGCCGAAAAAAGGAAAATAAGAAGGACTTGGGTCAAATGAATAAGCGACAAGAAAAAGAAATGAATGAGCTTAAACGTTCTTGTCAAGCCGTAAAACAAATTGATGAACTGCAGAAACAACATGAGGACGAAATAGATAAGTGGATCCAAGAACATATGGAGAAAGCCAAAGAACAACAATTTTGTAAAGTTTTATAAAACATTTTCTGACAGCAGATTTTAAATGGGAGCAAATGTGTTTTAGTTTGATATTTCCCTATAAATTGCCAATGTAATATTTTCATTTTTTCTAATTTTGAGAAAGATTAAAATAGTTAATTCTCTATGTATTCAACTACCATTAAAGTTATAACTTTCTCTCCATTAATTTGGACAAGAATTTTAAAAATGACATCCTGGAGGTAATAACAAGATGGTTGCCAAGTGACAAGACTTACCTCCAATAAGCCTTGGCAGTTGATAAAGACAACTGAGTTATTTTATGAGTTAATACTTTCTGAGGCAGCTGTCCACAAAGATAACCCGTTTCTTATGTGGTCCCTTGGGAAAATTAATTGCCGACACCTTCAGGAATGTCATACTGTTATTGCTTCAAAATAAGAAGTAATAGGCTTCCATTATAATAGTTGTAGATTTTATGTCAGGCATAGGAGGAATCTTGCAAAGATGCCCAAATTATTTGAAATCAGTTTGGCTGAGACTGATAGTGACAGTGTCCAAACAATTATTAGCTTAGTGCAGCTAAGGGCAGCTGCATCAAAGATACCAAACCACACCAGACCATATGGTCATTCATCAGAAACCTTATTATTTGCATCTTGTAATAATACAAAAATTATTTTCTAAGGAAAGAATGTACATATTTCTTGCTATTCTAGCACAAATCCTTGATGTATAGTGTGCCAGTGCATAGCAGAACTGTCTTAACAATTTTCCAGTTGCTACTGCATACATTTGAAGCATACCTTAGAAGCAAGTGCTAAACTTCAGACAGTATAGCTAAATGAGCATTCTATTGTTTTAAACATGTTACATGTAAAGAGGCAAGGTGTTCTAAGAGATCTTTGTAAAATCCTATTTCTTTTTTTCTCCATTTTCATTATATACACTTAGCAGAAGTTTAATAATAAACCAAGTGCACTTTTATTCCTAGGTGAAGTTCAAATTACAAACCCGTAACCTGAAATTCATCGGTATATTACAATATACCGATGTCATTACATCTCTGTGTAAAGTGTGAAAATGTTTTTGTTTTTTTTCCCTAGTATTTACGATTATCAGCAGGTTTTTCATAATAAGTTCAAAGGGATGCCTCATCTGCACTCCTGCATTTGAATCGCACGGTATGGGGTTTGATTAGAAACAACTGCAAGACAGTCATTGTGAAAAAAAAATGTAGATGATAGATTCCCTGTAAACAGAATAAAAAATGGCACCATACTAATTCAACTGTGGTTGTGTTTTTTTTTTTTTAATGTAATGCTAGTGCATAAAGCTTGCCATTTTGTAATCAATTTTCATCTCTAAAAATTGGGAAAGAGAAGAAAAAACCCCAAAGCTTAATTCTCTTAGATCTCTACTCTACTGGACAAGAAACAGAAAGATGGATAGAGATGTATCAAAAATGGAGAAATAAAAAAGTATATGCAAAATTTTAACCTTAGTTTTCTACAACTAAAAGAAACTGCAGCTGCAGCTAGAAAACACTAGGATATAAATAATTACATTGTACATATTATTAAGGAAATTTCTGTTGACTTTAATAAATTAATATATACATACTAAAATACATGAATAAATGAAAAGGAGTGAAAACCTCAGACATTACCAGTAGATAAAGTTAAAAACCACATGAAGAAATTTGTGGTTTATTGTCTTCGCTGGACCAAAGGTTTGGCTGTAGTGATGTGAAACCTAATTTCAGGGCAATACGCTTGTGTCCATTTTGGTGTAGATCATTTTAAATACTGCACTGCTGGCAAAGACAAGGAATCAACTAAACCAATTATCAAAACCAGCACACCAAATCTTAGTCTAGATTAGACTAAAACATGCCCTATCATGATACTATATGTGGCTCTGAATCTGAACTTTGCAGCTGAAACTCTCATTCATGTTTTCATTAACTCCTGCCTGGACTGCTGCAATGCAAAGCCCTGGAAATGTTCTATGTTCAGGACACAGCTGTCAGAATTGTTACCCACAGCAAGTCCTAACAACCTACAAAATGTAACTACAAAGTCTCCTGGTCTTCTGTATCTCCTACAAAATCCTTCTCCTCTTCTACAAATCCTGACACACCCTTGCTCCCCAGTACTTACTGGATCTCCCCTACACTGCATCTTAGACTCTAAGATTTTAACTAAGTCACCCATTCTCCATCCCATACATAAGACAGGTCTTTTGGGGCAAAGCCTTCAGTGCTGCCCACTCTCTGAAACATGCTCCCGTGACCTGTTCATTGAGAAATTTGGCCTTTGACTATTTCCTTTTTCTTTTTTGTCTATAAAGATAAATTTACAGTGTGCTAAATATGCAAAAAGCTAAGAGATAAGGAAGGGAGCTAATACATTTTCGTTTATATAGTGCGTTTCAAGAAATCCAAACTGCTGTTGTTAGTAGTCGTATCAGTATTAGTATTACATTATTTAGATCTATTTTGAAATTTAGCTGGTGAAGCACAGCCAATCAAAACAATGCAGAAGAAGGAAAAATCTATGAAAATATAACAAAGAACTCCAACCATCCATTATCCTTGTCAGGGTCGTGGGGTGGGGGCTGGAGCCTATCCCAGCTGTCTTAGGGGGAAAGGCAGGTTACACCCTGGACAGGCTAACACTGCGGTCCCCAACCTTTTTTGCGCCACGGACCGGTTAAGTTCAACAATATTTTTATGGACCGGCCTTTAAGGTGTCGCAGATAAATACAACAAAATAAAACGAGTACCGGTACCAAAAATAAATAAATAAAATGTATTCATAACACACAGGAAAAGACACAGGGAAACTGAGGTAACGATAAAAACAATGAATATTAACGATAAAACAAAAAAAACCCAGTAAACCATAAATTTCACACCTGGACCTCAACACCAAACGACTCATGGACTGATACCGGTGCATGGCCTCGGGGTTGGGGACCGCTGAGCTAACACATAGAGACAGACAACCATTCACACTCACACCCACATTCATACCTATGAGTCTCCAATTGACCTAACCCCACTGACTGCATGTCTTTGGGAGAAAGCCGGAGTATCCGGAGAGAACCCACGCAAACACAGGGAGAACATGCGTGATGTTGGAACTGAACTCAGAACTTTCTTGCTTTGAGGCAACAGTGCTAATCACTGTGCCACCGTGCTGAATCAGATTTAAAAAATAGAGAAAATACACTAGACATTGTTCAGCTTTTTGTTTGTGCATGTGTATTGTTTTTGTTTATGGTAAATCGTGACAGTAACACTATAAATGCAAACAATGTCCAATAATTTTAGCTAAGCATAACTTATCATTTATACAAGTTTATACATATTTACCTTACCTTGACATCTATTATAGAAATTGTTGAACTAAGGTTTGTGCTTATAACTCACTAACAGGTGTTAGTGAGATTCATCTTAAAACAAAAGGTCACAGACAGAGTAGAATCTCAGTCCAACCCAATAATTAAAGTTGGTTTTATTTTCTGAAAAAAGCACCACGTCTTGGTGACACCTTTCGATGTATTCATAGTAAAATATATTCAGTGATTAGGTGTCTTTTTGTAATATTTCTGGGAAAATTATATTTACATGTTTAAAGGAAATCCAAATCAAATTTTATACAGAACCAGTCTAAAAAACTTGCCTTTGTTTTAAGTTACTTAATATAAACATGCAACAGTATAAGTAACTGTTCATTGTGTGCTTTGAATCTACACTGTGAAAAATGAATACAAATAACATGTAAGACTTGCACCTACCTGTACTGTACAACCATCATGTTCTGCTCCCCACAGTGTCTCGCACAGCGAATATACCTCATCCAGCTGGATTTACTGGGATCATTACCATCGATGAAGTGCTGTAACGTTCCCTCTGAATCGTAGATCTGGAAACACAAATGATCAGAGTTGAAAACAGAGACATTAATTCAGGATAGTATTGATATATACCGCGAACCGCTC